AAAAAAAAAAAAAAAATAAATAAAGTAGCATGAATGGCGTTCAAGAGGCTGAACGCCCAATTGGGCCCACTAAATAATAGATGTGCCATATCCGTGTTAAATGGCAACATGGCGTTTAAACGCCCAAAAGAATGAAGCGATGCAGGTGCCCTGAGAAGAATGTAACTTTTTGAATGAATGAAAAAAAAAAAATTAAACCAATGTGGATGCCCTAAGATGATTAAATTGCAAATATATTAAAAATGTAATTAATTTTTGGGAGCTGTTACGGTGTCGTTACGGAACCATTTCGTCGAAATTTGTAACTGTTAGATCAACTACTACAGACGGTTACTTGATAATCTAACGGTTATAAATTCCGACGAAATGGTTCCATAACGGCACACCGTAGCAGCTCCCATATGCCTTAAATTTGCATCAATCGTCGTGTCCAGGTAATTCCACAGTTTCTCTCCAGTAGCTGAAAAAAGCCGAAAACAACAAAAATACAACAAAGAAAACAACTGGATTCACACTCTACCAAGAAGATACTCGCAAGAAAAAAAACAACCATGCTTTTGTTTCCATATTCACTCACAATCCACTCAAAAGGATTTTTATTTTTTATTTTTACTTTTTCTAAACTTCCCGTAGATTGAAAGCTATAAACCCCAATTTGCAGTAAAACCCCCAAATGGGCACCCAAAGCCGCTCAACCCGACACTGTCAGGGCCACCAAATCGCCGGTGATCTCATCAAGCAAACCATTGAGCATATACCTCTCGACCTCCCTCACAACATCGTCTTTTTCAGTTACCAACGCCTTGAGATTGCTCCATTCGAGGTCCCACATGCAGTTCACATCCGCGCCCCCGCCGCCGATGTCCTTCTCCAGCATTCTGTACAGTCGCGCCGCTAAATCACGCTCGTCGCCGAGATTCCCGCCGTACAGCTTCAGGGTTTCCAAGTCCTTGCCCAGCTGCTTGATCAAATCGTCGAAAGATCGCACCTTGGGACCGGCTGAGGCTGGTTTCATGTGGGGGTGATTTGCGACTCCGTGTCTCCTCGCTTTCCTCTTCATTACTTCCTGCGCGCAGTTCAGGACGAGCTTGTTTTCGGGGGCTTCGTAGTCTTGTTCCGTTGCATGGAGGAAGCTGGTGGGCAAGTTGAGCTTGAAAAGCGCTTCTGCTGTGCTGAGGAACGTCTGGCTTTTAATCGCCATCTCCTTGAGTTGTTTTTCGGGTTCTGTGAGTTGCTCTCGTCTGTCAGGTATGGACGTTTGCTTGTCCTCGTTTTGAGGAAGATTGTGTAGTTCTTCTATGCTTTCTCCCTTGTAATCTCCTGCAATATGGAATGTTAGATTCGTAATAATGAATCCGAAAATCCAAGTAATAGGATTGTTAGATTGGTCTGGGGATCTTGTCGCTGATAAGTATTCCCAAAAGCAAAGAGATGGTGTGGAGTTGTTCAATGGAAAGTTGACATGAAGGATTATGATTTGTAGGATTTGTAATCAGGACAGGAAATGAAAATGTAGATTTGAGAAATTCCATCGTGTTTCTTCAGCTTGACGAAGCTAAAAAATGCTAGGCCTTTTTAGTGTGAAAGATACAGAATGTGGGGTGTGGGTGAATTAAGGCTTAGAAAGTAAGAAATAAATTCATAATAAGCTACTGGTTGTTAATAGAAATTAGAAACTGAAAGTAGATAATAATATTTACTTGTGATTTGATCACGTCGTTCGAGCTCTTGTTCATCTTCAAGAGCATACGGCTCTTCCACTGTCTCGAGTTCATTAGAAACTTCCCCAGCTTTTATGGCTTGGTCATCACACTGAAAAAAAGGCCAACTGTCATAAGCATTTTGGCGCAATTGAACTGTAATTTCAACTCTTTAATTTTTTATTTTTTTTTTCAGAACTTATGCTGTTATTAAGTACCTGGGTATTCTGCAGATTGGCTATTTGTTTTTCATCCTCCACTGAAATGTTTAGCACGACATTCTTGGCGTCTTCCTTTTCTAACTTGTCCTGTTGCTTCTCTGGTTCAATGTTAGTGTTTTCTGATGCACTGTACACATTCATTCCTTCTTTTTCATTCTGTATCTCACTATAACTTTGTTCTTCCACTCTTTTACTGTTCCGGTGTTTGTTATGCATCTGTTGCTTCAAATCCTTCAACAGCTTTGCTGGCTGCTTCGTTGATCTTGTTAAGTGATTCGCATTTGCATGTCTTCTAGACATCAGTACATCTATCTTTTGAGGAATCTCACTTTTTTGAACTTTCTTGGGAATCTCTGCCTTATGTTTGGTCGGGACCTCAATTGCCTTCCCCTTCATGGGTTCCAGATTTCTATTTTTGTTTTCCACATCTGTTTCTGGTTCTCTTGTAAATGACTTATGACTTCCATCTTCTTTCTTGATATTTTCCTTATTTGTCACAGTCTGTTGAGAGATATCAATCATGGGGACATCATCTTGATCTGTTCTCTTTGGTGGGTCCTTAGGTGGAAGTTTTGTAATTGATTTTGTGGATCTTTTGTTGCCAGGTACCGACTTATCACGCGAAAGCTTCTGTGAATTTACGGCCGTAATTTTCTTTGATTTTGAGGTTACAATGGATGCTTGGCTGCCGTCGTGGTTTTTGGCCAACAAGTTTTGTTTCTGCAGCTGCTGGCCATTTTGTACCTTCTTTAGCTTGTCCTGTGAAGGTTCACCTCTTCTAAGCACCTGCTCTTGAAGCTGTCCACGTTTGTCTTCATGCTTTTGTTGATTGCTTGGGAGTTCTTCATTTGCTTTCCTCATTTCTGTTGAGCCTGCACCTGGCTTGTACTCAATATCGTTAATTGCTATGTGTTCTGCTTTTTTGGTTCTGCTGTTTTGTGACTTTTGCTGCAGCTGGGTGTTTAAAGTTTGCATCTTGCTTTCACTCTTGATGGTTTTGCTTTGTCTGTCTACTGCGGGATTTTGTTTCCTCTGATTATCTCCAAAAATTTGATGACGCCCATTAACTTGAGTTGTTGCAGTGCTATGGCCTTTTGTCGTATTATTACTCTCTCTATTCAAAGGCTCAAACGACTTGTTAATTGTTTGTTTCGGGACTTGTCCTTGTTTCCCCTTAGGATCACTTTTCTTGTGTATGAAATCCTCATTATGTGGAGTCTCTTCAAGCCCCATTAGTTTAGCCACGACATTCGATATTCTCTTCTTCTCTTGTGTCGGCTGTGGTAAACTCGAGCTACGAGTTTGCGTAAAAAGACCCAAATCCTGAACATAGCTACTCGACCTTTCATGACGAACCACATTCAGATCCCTACTCGATTTTTCTGAGGTCTCGTCAAATCCCAATAAATCCATCTGTCTCCTTCTCGGCCTATCGAACGAGAATTTAGGCCGATCCAATTCCCACTTCTCGGCTATTTTAGAATTTTCATCTTCATCCTCGTCGAGTAGCTTAATCCGGCCTTTGTTCCGAGTATTTTCTGCATGCTGCGAGGTCTCCTGTAAATTGACAAGCATTCTTAACGACTCCTCCAAATCCATTGCACCTTTCATTAATTCTTTCCCAACCTCAATGGAGCCGCTTCCCTCGAGGCCAAACCTGTTCGAGCAGGCTCGTAAAATCTGATTGAGCCTCTGAACGCCTTTCGACACTTCACTTACGTGTATGTTGGAGATTGTAGGAATCTGAGAACGATTTTTGTTGCCGAAGGTTGTTATGTCCATCTTGTGTGTGTCCCGCGATTTACGACTAAATCGGTTGAAAAAATTTACGAGCGGGTTTGTGGCTGAGGCTCGGATGCTGGTGAGGTTGCCGCCATTCTCAAAGGCGAGGGCTATCGCCATGGATAGGTCCCTCACTTGTTTTCCGGAGGCTTTTTGGCCGCTGTTGTAGAGAATAATCTGGTTGGAGTTTTCATTTGTGATTATAGATGTGCGGTGGGTTCCATTGTTCGATCGTCCACTCGTGTTCCCTGTTCTAGAGCTCGCCTGCGTGAAGACAGAGATTTGGTTTACCGATCAGGTTCGTGAAATTATTTAATGTATGACTTTTGGGAAAATAATGTACATAAAATAAAATATTAACTCGTACCGATTCTAGTGTGTTTATATGTCGAGAGCCTTTGGAAGTCGGCCTGGTGTTTCCATGTGCAGCTGTTGTTTTGGAGATATGTGAGATGGTGAAGTGGAATTATTTAGCATTAACAGATAAAATTACTATCCAGAAAGAATTTGATGACATTTTTTACATATTGTATAATTTTTTTTACAGCCATTTTTACAGACTTTAATTTTTTTTATGTCATGTACTAATGCAAATATCAGTTGAATTTGTAATCTTTTCAATCAGTAACACCCTCCTTTTGTCACTCATTATAATTCATTTTATGTTTTTTTCTTTTCTTTTTAATTTAAATTATTATTAATTATGTTTTATGTCTATATTTTCATCGATCGGCCAGGAAGTTTCGAATTTTCCATAGACAGTGGGGATAGGGAGCTCCATGTTTGAGTAAGTACTTTTCAGATTTTGTCATGAAGGTTTTTGCTCTATCTATGTCTAGCTACCGAACGAATATTTGAAATAAGAATGGGATAACATTCGTTTTAATTTTTTTGCTTGCAGGGGAAAACTTTTTTTCTTGCCAGCATTTCACGTTTACCTCTTGATGTATGTGTGGACTGCCGGCTCGAACTTTGAGCAGCAGCCATCCTTTCCTTGCGCGCACGAAGATCATGGAGCAGCTTCTGAGCAAAATCCGATTTTGACGCCGCCATGTTGAGAACTCGAAAAACTATCCGACAATAGGGATGTGGAATTAAATTTATTCTTTAATTGTGTTTTGGGGATTTTGGTGAGAAGGAGGGAATGATACAATTGCCTCTTTGGTGAGAAGGTTGTGTCAAAGTTTGGTGAGATGGGAAGAAGGGCAAAAGGCAATCAAAATGAAGGTTGAAAAAAAAAAAAAAGAACCATTTAACTTGAGGAAAGGTGGATGTGAACATGATGAAGAATATTTAGCTGTGGATGGAGAATTGGAACAAATTTTGCTTTCATTCCACTCCAAGCAATGGCACAAGGTTTCAGCTTTTTTTATTTGAGGACTTATTTGATGTAAAAGTAAATTTTATTTCTTCTTAGCAGGCACCCAACTATCCCCACTCAATGTGGAGTTTCCCTGTGGAATGTGGATGTAAAATACAGTGGCCATTCATTTGGAACTTAATTATTAAAATAAGTGGTTGGGTCGCTTTATTATTATTATTATTATTATTATTATTATTATTATTATTATTATTATTATTATTATTATTATTATTATTATTATTATTATTATTGTTATTGTTATTGTTGTTATTATAGATCTCGGAATGCAGT